ACCCCCACAAAAAGAAAGCAAACAAACAAACAAATAACAAAATAAATACAAAAACATCATATCAAATAAAACAACACCATTAATTTCACTGTTGTTATTGATACAGTACAACATAATTGCATAATTGAACCTCGCCCGGATTTTCCTCCCTTTTTGCTCAAATTTGGCTCTTCCCCTTCCCCAGCCCTCTTAAAACTCCCTGATTTGCAGTGATGAGATGGAGTTTAAACTGTTTTCTTGGTTTAAATTTGACAAATAAACTCGCTTTTTATTATTATCTTCTCCTTTTCCCGGGATTTGACCATGAAGTTACACGAAAAACTGAAAGTCAGAAAAACAGATTTCAAGACCAGCTGCGTATTTGTGTATATGCATTTTTCTCCGCAATCGTCGTAATTACAACTCAACTCTCATATCAGGATCATCTACTCTCAAAGTTGGCAGGTTCACAGAAATTAGCACTTTGCCAATCTCGGTGTGTGGGAACCTTTATCAATTTGTTTCAGCACCTAACAAAAATAGAATCATTGCAGAGACCATCTCTCGTCAAACAACTCTCCAGAGGCTAAAAGGTTTCTTTCATCGAGACAATAAATTATGCCCTCGGAAATTGAACTTGACTTGAAAGTTTTGACTAATTTATTTGTCATAGATTGTTCTAGATTGGCTGAAACTCGGAAAAAACATTACCGAGAAAGAAAAACATCCGAAGCAAGAAGGTGTTTAGAAATAAATTGACTGAATTTTTTTTCCTTGTCTCCCTCTTGATCTTTCGTAAGAGAACAATTTAAGCATTCGAGTACAACGATACTGTTTCAACGTGACAATTACCGACTATTTATTCAAGTGGGAGGTCAGAAGTCGGGCAGAAGGCGAGAATATCTTTCGCGAGGCGAGGGAAATAACTGAGAACAAGATGATCCAACTTGTTTAACAAAAGATCTTGGCGACGTTCTAAGAAAACACGAGAAGATTTAAGTCCGAAAACCATTTCTATTTTATTTTGACAAGTCACAAGTCCAGTGGTTACATATCGCCTTAAACGCCTCATCTGCAGAGCAAGAATTCATTCAGAATCTACTTAAAGAGAAATCTATATTCTGGTAAGGCTTTTTACGAAATATCGGAAACCTCGGATAAAGGTGATGTCAAAGAAAATCCGTGTAACAAATCTTGCATTATAGCATTCACTTTGTTCGATCCACCGTCGCGGTTCCACTTGTATCTTGAATTGAATGAGAAAGTCCGAGTCCTTTCTGGAACAAACCAATCGATAGTATTCTTCATCGCATACGTCAACATGGCACCAATTTTGTCGTGGTTTTTTATCATATTCAGTTGACTTGCGTACTGTCGGGGTCTTTTTTGAAGTACTCCTACCTATATCTTAGTGATGTTCCCGCCATTGCAAAGCGATTGATCGACAATTCAAATTGCTCTTAAGCAACGACCGATTTATTTTCCTTCTTCAGTCAGAGTATATATCGGACATTGTTTCTGTGCAGAAAAAAGAGTTGAACAGCTACCTCAGTAATATTTGATAGGTTCGTGTCAATTCCATTACTACAACAAACATATGAAACATATGTGTGAACTGCGGTTATGAGACGTATATAAGCACGATCCTTCGCAGTAAAGCACTATTTGAGCAATAGTGAAAATCAGACCTGAAAAAAATTTCAGGCCTGTACGGGATTCGAACCACTGACCTCTGCGATACTAGTGCAGTATCATTACTGTTCATATCAATCCGACGCACCATTATTGCCACGCTCCCTCTGTTAATCTGATTTGTTATTTCGCCACCATAAATGCGTCCACACACCAATGTTTTCTTGAAGGCCTCCTTAAATTGCGGATTCATTACTCCATATAATATCGGATTTACCACACTACTTGAGAACATCAGGTAGATAACAGCTGTATCCAATTCTTGGGGATTACTATAACTTACAATTCTCATGACATGTACAACGACCATGGAAGCAGGACCCCATGTCAAAACAACCGCCTCTCGGTTAGCTCAATGGATAGGGCGCTGGACTGTTGTGCGGGAGGTCGAGGGTTCAAGCCCCGGCCGGACCAACACTCAAGGTCTTAAAATAATTGAGAAGAAACTGCTACCTTTCTATAACATCAAGTAATGGTTAGATATTCTAGTATTCTCGGATAGGGACAAGTAAATGGAGGTCCCGTATCCTACAGGGTTAGGGGTAGGAGACGTAAATTTCCCATGCACGAGATTACTGTGTGATGGATGTCCTCCGGTGGGATTTATTGGGTGGACTACTCGCATGGTTCGCATTTGTTCCGTTCTAGTCCTACCCTACTGCGGTAATGCAGTGAAAATGGTTAGAAAGAAACAAACAAACCACAATAAAACACGTCTTTAAAAGTTTGACGTCAGTACGGTGATACGTATGAACACCAATTCCATTTTGCCCGCCATTGGCGTTAAGATTTTTCGTGCTCTCTTTCACCTTTTTGAAAACTTGATAATAAAAATACACTATCGCGATTGCTATCATCCTTATTAGCTCACCTATAACCATAATGGTGTAGGAAAGGTGTCCTCCCCGCCAGTCGTAGGTACAAACAGAAAATTGTTCGTCATAATGTATTTTTCCCCATCCGTAGAATGGGGGCGTAGCGAGTAGCTATATAGTATAGCGACCATCCATACGAGGCCACAGTAAAGCCGAGCTGCTCTTGTATTATTGGGAAAGAACTCGAAAAACATGGCTGGCCTAACGACTCTCATATATCGATTCGGAGCAATTAAGCCCATGTTTAGAATGGAAGCCATGCCCATGACTCCTTGAATCAATGCAGAAACCTCACACCACTCCTTGCTCAAATTCCAAATTCCCGTATACAAGCTCACTACCCAGAACGGCATTTTCCGGGTGGCCATAGATATATCAGTCAGTGCTAGGTTGTAAATACAAATATTGGTTACTATTTGCATCCAGGAATATTTATTAATAACGTAAACAACCAGTACATTACCAAATATGGAAGCAAAGCAAGGCAAACCAGAATGGCCAAAGTCACTTCTACATTGATTTCCGCTCTCGAACAACCGAGAGGATCTTGGTAAGTTAATTGAGACATCCTTGTCTGTTTTACAAGTTCCACTAAACAGAGAAATAAAACCAAAAAAATAGATGGTGTCGATGCCACTGAGTGTACATTGATTTACAAATTACAGAATTCAAGCTTACGTCCTGAGCTACCATTCTTTTTTTAGCCCCCACCCTCTCTCCCGTCACAGAAATGATAATTTGCTTGAGTTTCAAAAATCTTGGACTTATCTGACTACTGTATGATCTAGACCTGTAACTTGCGAAGCGCGACTAATTCATTTACCACCTCCTGTTGCAATGCCAAATAAATCCCAACATATTTCTCAGAGATAGCAAGAGTCTGAACGAAGTCGATATGACCCTCGTAATCATCGCTTCTTTCCGCGGTCCCTTCTAAGAGTGTCTCAATGGGGCGAGGGCGTTTGCGGCTAACGATTAAAATTTTGACCAATTTACGTTTAATGGTCCATATCTATTCATTATTGTCACAACCTTTCTTTTCTTTTACGGACATTTTTTGTCACATCTAACGGTTAAAATGTGTCAATTTTTTTGTTAAACGGCCAAATATTTTGGCCGTTTCACGGTTAACGGTTATCCCCATTGAGATCCTCTTCAGTTTTAAGGATCGATCGAATTTATTCACACACTACGTTAGCACACTTTTTAATTTCCTGGAAAACGTCTTGTCAAATTTTTAAGAAAATGACTGGGACCAAAATCTTAAAATTTAAAGGATAGCAGAATACCTATTCCCCGCTCAGTAGATGGAACAGGAGACCACTGGTCATATTGCGAAGGGTTGGTTCTAAGGTTTAACCTAAAGTTGTTACTGAGGAGCATTAGACTTTCCGTGACACCGCTGGTCACATTGCAAAGGATTGATTTTAACCTAAAGTTGATAGGTGCATTTGACTTTCTGTGACACCGTATTCATCACAAGACCTTAGGACAACACCGAGGAGGAGAAGATTCCGTGCAAAAATCGAGTTGAAAAAAGAATTATTGATGTAGGAAAGTCTTAACACTGACTTTCGAGAGATTATTAGCGATGAAGTAAGTGAGCGCCTTTTCTTTTAAAATTATTCATTTTTTCGCTTTGGGTTCGGAAAAGGCTTTGGCTAAAAAACATTTTTTTTTCGTACGTTTTACTATTCCTCAAACCATAACGGTAAAAAATAAATGAAAATGACATGATACCAAAATAAAAATATATGTATATATGTATATATGTATATATATATATAACTAACTGCAGACAGTACTGTTTCGGCCTTCTGGGCCTCATCAGTGCAGTGCTAATGCTAGGATGGGGGAGAACCGAGACGGTCACCCCAAATGACCCAACCTTTGTGGTATCGTATAAGCCATGCCAGAGTGCTCAAACTAGAGTAAACCAGCGAGCATGCGCAATTGCAACGGAAATGACTCTTGGTGAATATCGTCGAATAATCCCCTCGACTTCTTCGAGGGGATTATTCCACAATATTCACCGAACCTGAGGCGAATACTTGTTTTAGTATAATTTCAGAGCTGAACAACAAAGAAATTTCTAAAATCATAGCATTTTAGTAACATTTATTAACATTTTAGTTCAAAATTTTATATAAACCGCGCGGAGTGGTTTATATAGCGTCATATAAGGAACCGCTCGACCAATCAGATTGCTGGAAACTCTTTGTTCAGCTCTGAAATTATACTAAATATAGATATAGATCTGAACGACTATCTTTAAACAAAACTTTTTTTGCCTCAATTGTACCAAAAACTGATTCCAAGCAGTTCAAGTGTTGTTTTTGTTTTTTTTTTTCGTTTACAGTTTTTGGGCTCTCTGTTTATCAACTCAGTTAATAGTCAGTCCCCTTTGTGCTTATAGAGGATCATTCGCCACTGAAGCATTAAAGTAGCGCCGAATCCATGATTTTGTTTCTATTGCTATGTTACTTATGCTACTTGTTTGTTGTATAAAATGTATATTAAAAGCTATATTTTCAAAATGAAAAATGCAAATCATACTAATAATTGTGGTGTTAATGGATTTAATACCTCAGCAGACGATCGAAAACGTTTCAAAAGATATTCATGTTCGAAAAGTGCAGTAAATAAACAATCATTAATGCTTGATAGTACTTTTGCTCATTTAAAGAACCGACGCAGTACTAGCACATGTCTTGTAGCACGACCCAATTTTTTTAAAGGCAGGTTTGTAATTTAGCAACTAAACTATCCTTCCCTCATATTATTCACGTTGGCAGATTTACAAAATAAAAGCAGTTTTTCAATCTCAGTTGTTGAAATATTTATTCATGTTTTTTACCTTTTTAGGAAAAATAGAATCACTGCCGAGACCATCTCTCGTCATCCAACTCTCCAGAGGTCAAAAGACTTCTTTTAAAAACACAGTAAATCTTGTCTCTGGAAATTAATCTTAAATGTTTTGACCAAGTTCTTAGTCAGAGAATGGTCTAGAGTAGCTGACAACTTGAAGGACACCGTTATATATCGAGGAAAACCTATAAAAAGAAAGCGTTTTGCGTCAAACAATGAGTTAAAGTTAGACCTTTATTTCTCCCAGATACTAGTTAGGCGATTCTACCAACTGAGTTATGAAGCACATTAATTTGATGCACATTCAAGCATATTGATCATTGACTGTTACCCACAGGAGAACGAGGACCGTAGGATTGCCGGATCCATTGGGAAAAAAAATGTATCATACATACAAGTGTAATCGGAACTGGATATCAGTTATGGGAAGTTGTGTCAAAGAAATCGAAATCAACTTTCGTTAAGGAAGCATTATAATGTTCTCTGATTGGTGAAGAAAGTTCCTGCCATCTTTTCAACCTATGAGATGGAAAACTAAAACCAATTTTGTCTTGAGTGCTCACCTCTTCTTGCGCTTCAAGTGATTTCCTTGTTCCTTGTGATATCTTCCTTTCTTCCGATTGGCTGTTTTGGTTTTTAAGAGAGAATTTCCCCTTACATAATTTCCCCTTACAATTATATCAATACAACATCAAGCAAATAAGTAATGAATACAGGAAAATATCAATGAGGGGATTATTAGTTGATCAAATGCCAAATTCTCTTATTTATCACCATAAGAATTGAACGGCATACAATAAGGAAAATCACTACTTTGATCTTGGAAGTGAAAGAGTTAATTATTTCCGTGGTTATTTGCAAACCTCACATGGCGTCTTTGGAACATCTTCACGGATCCAAAACGATGCAGTCACGATACTTTGAAAGCAAAACAGAAGCTACTCTCCTCATCCTCTATTCTTGGCCTCCCCAACAGTCCCCAAGATAGAATGTCTTTTCCCATACTCGTTAGGTTTAAAACAAATATAGTTGATGCCTTTATTTATCTGCGATTTAAGTGTCAGTGTTGATAGGCACTCATCTAAGATTGGGTCTAACAAAACGTGTAGAGCTTGATCAAATAAAACAATCGTTTCCCTTTCTAATTTCTCTCCGGATTCTTCTGTTAAAGTCGAAAAGGCATTAGACTCAATGATCTTCTTAAATTTTCAGAGCACTTTATTTGAAACGTGTCTCTTACGTCAGAATTAGATTTGACGTCATCGCCGGGAGATACGGCACGCTTTGTCTGTTATGGACTCAACTTTTTCAACCCGTATTAATACTCACAATACAAAGTAATCTTTGTTTCTCTCACATTTTTTCTTTGTTCTTTAGTCCTTGTCGTCTAATAACATAATTAGGACGTTTTATTTATTTATTTATTTAAGGCAATTTTCAAAGATGCTTGAAATATTTCAAATAAAGTGACGACGATAGTGAAATAATCTCTTTAAAACTGTATCATTAATCCATTTAACTTCTTCAACAGTCTACGCAATATTTTTAGCTTCGCTATTCGATCATAAACACAAACTTTTTAGGAGAAGGTCCTCGAGATAAACGGCAGCAGTGATCAAACTTTTGAAAAAGCAATGGCAGTGAGGAGAAAGAAAATACCATACGATGAATCTCTGAATCCATTCGCTGAACTGTGTGCCTCAGTCGCTTTCTCAGAGCAGCTCAGAAACAAGTTGAAACAAATGGGACTCGGTGGTGACACAAAAAAACCAGTTGAAATAGAGTTTGATGATATCGTGGCAGCTTTATTTCGAATCGGAAGGGGAGTCGGGAAGACGCCTTTTGAGGCAAATTTTTAAGACATTGTAACAATGGATATTATTATACATTAATGTCACCAGCTCGATTTTGATTGACTATAAGCACGCAGCAACTTCTTGCTTGCTCTGTTTCTCTTATGTCATACCCACAGACAATAGATTTTATATATGTAGAAATAACATCATACCTATAGACAATAGTTTCGTGTATGCCCAAGTGACGTCACTTAACACACTAACAAGAGTTTACTGCTGCACGTTGAAAACCTTTTTTGTACCGTGCTCTTGTCTTTACAAGTGCAGCTCAGGTATATGCATAAAAAAACAATTATCGGATTCGGTTTTCACAAGATAGTGATAATTATCAAGGCCTTAGTTTGTGTTATTCTCCTCAGCCTTCGCGTTCGGCAAATAACGCAAACTTTCTCCTTGATAATATCATGTGAAAACCGAATCCATTAATTGTTAATTAGCAGTCATCCTGGATTAAGCGGATGAGGTTGCCGTTTATTATCTTCCCCTTGCATCAAACGATCACATAAAGCAGAACTACTCAATCGATTAATTAAATCTTTCCAGTAAACTTTTATTCCTTTTCTTTATTTGGAAACAATGGTAGTTGTATTTCTGAGTGCGTTTTTGTACAAGTGGTCAATTATGGTAGAATTTAGTAAACCTACATTTTCGTCCACGCTCCTAATGGGCCTTTGCATCGAACACAGAGAAAAGAAAGAGCTAACGAGAAAAAAACTTGGCAAGCCTGAGCTGTAAATGATTTAAGAGTCTGTCCACGAGAGGACCAGGCAGGCGTGACACATGTCATCTTACCGATTTCTCTCAAACTTTCACAGATGATTAAGATCATAAAGTTATTCAAGAGTCCAAAGTAGTTTGGGCCCCCGGTTAATCCCTGGGGTACAAGGGCTTTCACATCAAATCCCAGGGATAAAACCCCGAAATTAGCCCTTAAATTGCACTTCCAAAAAAGATCTCCCACACTGATAGAATGCGGTGGATTTTAATCTCATTTCATCCAACAAATTTTTMAACCTTAAGCAATCGAAGGTTCAAAGTTGGATTGATTTGAAATCATGCTCGCCAATCGAGAGCATTTCATAATCAACCATGTCACGCGACAATTTCAAGAGGCCGAAAACTAGGCTTTTTTAATTGCAAATATTTCCAATGGGCAACGTTACATGTCGATCAACATGTAATCGCAGTAAAACCCAATCACAGTGCTATGTTTCTGACCAAAAAAATTTTTGGCCTCTGTGAAACATTCGTGATCACATTCCTCCGAAGTGCGTGACAGGCAATGTTTATGTAAGCACCTTGTGATCACAAGCTGCTAGTTAATGAGCCGAATGAAATCGTGTTATGGTATATGTGACGCCAATTGTTTTGTTTTTTGGCTCTAGAAGTATTAACGGGTGTTTAACTGCATAGTTAACACGCTGAATTAATTGTACTAATTCGTAGATATTGACACAATTCACTGACAGTTATTAGTAAATCTAATTACACCGATTCGTGTTTTTATGCTGGAAGTCAACAGCTAAAAACAGAGTATGCGAGGTATATTTTGCACATTTTTTTACTTTTCATACTTCTTAAATTTATTATCAAACCTGGGATGCACTTGAACTAATTTCCTTCCGGAGAAAAAACAGCTGTCATGCAAAGTTAGGTGTGTGGCGTGACACGTGCTCCCGTCACATGTGCTTGGATGAATTCAGAAATGAAATTCCCAGAGCTCGAAAAAAATAAACGTCTATCTTGAAAGTCAATCCACATTCTACTTTAAATAAACTTAATTTATTTCACCTTTGTAAAGTCTGATTGCAGGATTGTTTTCGAGGTAGAGATCCTTCAATCAGGCTAATGTAAACACCGTCGCCGTGAAAATAATCAAAGATAACAAAAAAGCACGTAGTCTTTTCTTCCCAGAGAAGTCTCGCCGTAGTTTTTTCTAGTTACTTGGTAGATTTTTTGGAGCGGTAACTTAAAGCTATGGCTGCCCAATTATCTTGTTCGTTCTCTTCGCATTCCAAGAGCACTTGTGATTTTTCAGCGAGATTTCCAGGGAAGAATGAATTATTCCCTTTGTCATCCTGTACGAGGGATATCAAATCTCATTTGCGACAACTGAAGGTTGCCCAAACATATGGCAATACCAAACCCACAACTCTCAGCGGTGGTAGATGATGTAAATTCTGAGGCACCTTCATACGCCGCACAAGAGGTCGGTCCCCGGATAATATCAACTCTGCAACTTCTAGTGGGGTCAGATTATGCAAGTTCAGAGGCTCTTTCGTCCTCTTCACAAGAATCAGTACCTGAGATCGAAACGTCGCTAGAATGGCAGCCAACTCCTCAAGTACAGCATAGGCTTCACTTTCTGAATAACTTTCTCCGGAACTCTGCGGACGGAAGAGTAAGTCCCATTCGATCTCAGCTCTGTACAGATGTTTTGAATTTGTCCCCTTCCTCAAGTCGCTACTACAAACGTAAAGCAGTGCAAGCAGTAGAGACAGTACTGGAGGCAATTGCGCCACAGCGGTCCACTTGGCTTTTCAATCGGGTTGTTGAGAGGTACAGCAGTGGAAGGGATGGAAACAGGCCAGATAATCAACTTCTTGGAAGACTCGTAAAGCTCTATGAAGAAGCAAATTCATCGTATAGGAGACNGTACAGATCGCTGCCTATGATCGATGTTAAGATCTAAAGAAAACAGATATTGCATCAATAATGTTATTATTTTCACACTTATGTCACTAGGTAGGTGTTCCTTACCAAGGGCACCTCGTGCGAGATAGTTTTAGACACAAGTAAAGTTCATCATCCTATTTGTGTGATGCACCTTCAAAAATAAGATAGATAGACTAACAGGCATGATATGCGTCAAACGTTGCAGTTGAATTCTTTTTTCAAAAGGTATGCGCGGCTTCTAAAAAGAAATCGCTCACAGGGCTGGATAGCATTCAAACAGATGGTGTGTGTGCCTTTGCCACATTAGTAGAAACAGCAGAAAGGTTATGCTCACTCGGTAAGTAAAATCGTTGAAGTTAGCAAATGCTAAAGAAAGAGCAACTTATTAGACCGTAAAACTGTTAGGGAATTTCCTGGTAATAAAAGGTTTGAAAAATACTTTATTCCCTTGTTATGCGTAAATGAATGTTTTTATATCAGTTTTATAGCATC